GGATTCCTGCCCCATCCCCAGGGGCTAGGGCGGGGCCCCAAAGGGAACATTTACCAATATTTTCAAATTCTTATCCATTGATGACATGACAAGTATTGTATTTCACTTAGTTTACATGCTGATTTCCACATCACATCTAAACAATAAAATAAAGCTACCAGTACCTATGATATAACTCAGGTGACCGCTAAGGCCCTTGGGCCTCTTGTCTACCTTCCTGGAACCAAACATTGAAGGGCAGCAAAGTTCGCAATAAACAAATTACATGTGGTGCTGTTCTTACATAAGTTTTTTTTCTACATGTACTATTGTGACATCAGACAAAATGGATAATGTGTAGTTTTGTATACATATAATATAGCTTAGTAAACAGTATGATAGAAGAATTCCTATTCTTTCATCAAAGCTCATTAAAATCACATGTTATCATTTGAGGTTCTCAGTTTGTTAACATGTAAGTGAAGAGTATATACAGACATGTATACTGTACACATACTTGTAGGTGTGGAGGATGTTTGTGAAGTTTGTTAACATGTACGTTTGTAAGTGAAGAGTATATATAAATGTATACCGGACACATACTTGTAGGTGTGGAGGATGTTTGTGAATGCTATTGTTGTGGGGGTCAGCTTGAAGGCTGGGAGCCTGGTGACATTCCGCAGACGGAACACGATACATGGTTTGGTGATAAATGTCCGTTGACGTTGGCAATGAAGGGAAAACTGCCCACAACCTGAGGAGACAAGGGTAGCCATTCAATACTCTTACTCATCATTTTATTGTTACAATATTTCATGAGTTATTTGAGAAATCAATTTATCCAGGTCATGTTCTGGATTTTTTCATTCAGTCAGTAAATCCTAGAAGAATCAAATGCACATGCTAAATTAATGTTTCCTATTCTGATGGAGTTTGATAAGCTTTATGTATTATATATGTATGACAAGCAGTTGATCTGACTTAGACATCAGAATCGTCATGTTTGAGACCACAATTGCCTTATATCACTGAGAATGATTGTTCTTTGTACAAAGTATTAATTTGTTAAAACCACAAAATACAAGGAAATACAATAGTATGCATGCAAATTGAATGTTAGTTAGTAAATTGGTTAAAACACATTAGCTGTTCACTGAATAATTTGACTAAACTGCTTTAACCAATGTTTTGTACTTTGTTCATTGAACACAACCGTATAGTTCATGAATTTACTACTTTTTTAAAATTAAGTTTTGTGATGATCAGGAAATATTTGAATTTCAAAGAGAATTTCCAGTGCGTTCAGCAGCATTAGTAGAACTAATTCTATATGTGTATTTCATTTCTGTCTTACAGTAACAAAAAATATTCCCAGAGGAACCTATACGCAAGAATGAGACAACTTCTATGGTATCAGCTGAAGGAGAACCATTCACTGTGGAAGTCATACAAGGTGGCAGGATATTGACTGTGTCACTGCTCACATAGCCAGGAAAGGACAGAAAATACCTCGTAGAAAACATTTCATTGGCCCTGATGATGCAAGTCATAAATTTTGGTTAATATATAGTAGAATGCTACATTTTTTGTAGCAAGTGACTTTGAGCTCCCACGCCAGTCGTAACATTCAGATCCCAATCCCGTACCTTTTTTTATCGCTGACTTGCATGATAGGTGGCCATGCTAGTGATATAGAGTCAGTCCAAACTGACCTGTAGAATTTACCTTTATATGGAATATCTATATTGGGCAATTGAATTATATTTCAGGTGTGGCAAGCTGTTTGTTTCTCATGTGTATGGAATATAGTCCTGAAACCTGTTATCACTAATCCAGTTGACTTAAAAGTCTGTTAAATGCGACATTAAGGTAAAGGATACCTGCAAGTAAAACTATATTATTACCATTGTGAAATACATGTTCAAGTACTTTTCAAAAAGAGTTATTCCATAAAAATCAAGTTGTGATACATATGACGGATTTATAGCTGTTTGAAATTTGTTCAAAATTAGAAATAAAAAGAGAAAACAGAAAAACTGAAAGGGTCGATTCTCAGGAACTTTATATTGCAAAGCCTTTTTAGACATCAAAATGAAAGTCCAATTTAATGGCCACAACGTCTGAAAAATACATAATATTACAGGGAAGTTACTCCGTATAGAAGAGAGAACACCCCAAGTCGCCTGTAATCAGTATGGTAATGAGAGGTCAACACCAAAGGTGGTTGTTGTCTGACTATAGGTATAAGCTAGAAGACATCTACCCAGTGTATACAGTGATGTGCCATGCTACTGTCTACCAAAATTTTATTTGGAGGTTGGTGGTCGTATACTCTATATGCTTTATTGGTGTTATTTTGATGGTAGACATGCAGTGAGTACTGTTTCTTCTTAAACTTTTTAAGTTTTTTTAAAACTTGTCCAAACATCTTTGCTCTGACTCTTACAAATAATGGAAACACTGGTTCCAGTCCATATTTGATCCCAGAACACAGTATTTGGACTGAGTAGTTGAGTACTGATATTACAGTTGATAGTTGACTGTCGTTTTGTAGGTGTTACTTAATTAGAAGTTAGATTATTATATAATCCAGACATTCTTTGTAGGAGAAGCTGTAAGGCAGCTCTTTGTTTGCCTTTACAATATGCTGTGCTAGGACTCTGTGGGTTCTGTGCTGTAAGGCAGCTCTTTGTTTGCCTTTACAATATGCTGTGCTAGGACTCTGTGGGTTCTGTGCTGTAAGGCAGCTCTTTGTTTGCCTTTACAATATGCTGTGCTAGGACTCTGTGGGTTCTGTGCTGTAAGGCAGCTCTTTGTTTGCCTTTACAATATGCTGGGCTAGGACTCTGTGGGTTCTCATGTGCTTTAAGGCAGCTCTTTGTTTGCCTTTACAATATGCTGTGCTAGGACTCTGTGGGTTCTCCAGTGCTGTAAGGCAGCTCTTTGTTTGTCTTTACAATATGCTGTGCTAGGACTCTGGGTTCTCCAGTGCTGTAAGGCAGCTCTTTGTTTGCCTTTACAATATGATGTGCTAGGACTCTGTGGGTTCTCTGCTGTAAGGCAGCTCTTTGGTTGCCTTTACAATATGCTGGGCTAGGACTCTGTGGGTTCTCTGCTGTAAGGCAGCTCTTTGGTTGCCTTTACAATATGCTGGGCTAGGACTCTGTGGGTGCTCATGTGCTTTAAGGCAGCTCTTTGTTTGCCTTTCCAATATGCTGTGCTAGGACTCTGTGGGTTCTCTGCTGTAAGGCAGCTCTTTGGTTGCCTTTAAAATATTCTGTGCTAGGGCTCTGGGTTCTGTGCTGGAAGGCGGCTCTTTGTTTGCCTTTACTATATGCTGTGCTAGGGCTCTGTGGGTTCTGTGCTGTAAGGCGGCTCTTTGTTTGCCTTTACAATATGCTGTGCTAGGGCTCTGTGGGTTCTCCAGTGCTGTAAGGCAGCTCTTTGTTTGCCTTTACAATATGCTGTGCTAGGGCTCTGGGTTCTGTGCTGTAAGGCAGCTCTTTTTTTGCCTTTACAATATGCTGTGCTAGGACTCTGTGGGTTCTCCAGTGCTGTAAGGCGGCTCTTTGTTTGCCTTTACAATATGCTGTACTAGGGCTCTGTGGGTTCTCCAGTGCTGTAAGGCAGCTCTTTGTTTGCCTTTACATTATGCTGTGCTAGGACTCTGTGGGTTCTCCAGTGCTGTAAGGCGGCTCTTTGTTTGCCTTTACAATATGCTGTGCTAGGACTCTGTGGGTTCTGTGCTGCTTATTTGGTCATAAGGGGAATTAGAGGTTCATGTTTCTAACAAGATAACTTACAATGGAAGGAATTTTAATCAAAATAAGTAAGCATGCAAAAACATTCTCAACTTCACTAGACCAATGGTACCCAGACTTGATAACAGCAATGCTCACATGGTCCTGAACAGATGTATGTGTTAATGGCTGATCCAAATCCAAAACTGGAACCCTAGCTTTTGATTATTTTAATAAATTTCGATCAATTCTCAGTTTCACTAAATCTGTTTAAATTAAATATTGTACTAGTATTACTGTCACTGCCCTTACCTAATAGTATTCTTTTAGTTCTTTGTCCAATGAGAAATCTTAGGTGATCACCATGGTCTCAAGCAATGAAAATACTTCATCTTGCCTAGTTCTTATAAAAAAGAAACATGTGATCAACCCTGTGTTGATAAGTAATTTATTTAAATGATATTGTTTTTTGAAAATAATCCTTTTAGTGCCTTTGTTTTAAAAGTGTTTAATCTAGTGATAAAATCTGTGATTGTTATTTTTTCACATTCCTTTAACACAATTAAAAGTTAAATGATTGTATAAGAATTTGATAGATATAATTATACAACCCTGGACCTACTGTTTGTACATACACTTCACTGGTCATTTGTCTGATGAAGGTGACAGTCTACATACGCTTCACTGGTCATTTGTCTGATGAAGGTGACAGTGTACATACACTTCACTGGTCATTTGTCTGATGAAGTTGACAGGGTACATACACTTCACTGGTCATTTGTCTGATGAAAGTGACACTCTACATACACTTCACTGGTCATTTGTCTGATGAAGTTGACAGTGTACATACACTTCCCTGGTCATTTGTCTGATGATGGTGACAGTCTACATACACTTCACTGGTCATTTCTCTGATGATGGTGACAGTGTACACACGCTTCACTGGTCATTTGTCTGATGATAGTGACAGTGTACATACACTTCACTGGTCATTTGCCTGATGAAGGTGACAGTATACATACGCTTCACTGGTCATTTGTCTAATGGAGGTGACAGTCTACATACCCTTCACTGGTCATTTGTCTGATGAAGTTGACAGTGTACATACACTTCCCTGGTCATTTGTCTGATGATGGTGACAGTCTACATACACTTCACTGGTCATTTGTCTGATGATGGTGACAGTGTACATACACTTCCCTGGTCATTTGTCTGATGATGGTGACAGTGTACATACACTTCCCTGGTCATTTGTCTGATGATGGTGACAGTGTACATACGCTTCACTGGTCATTTGTCTGATGAAGGTGACAGTATACATACACTTCACTGGTCATTTGTCTAATGGAGGTGACAGTCTACATACCCTTCACTGGTCATTTGTCTGATGATGGTGACAGAGTACATACACTTCACTGGTCATTTGTCTGATGAAAGTGACACTCTACATACACTTCACTGGTCATTTGTCTGATGAAGGTGACAGTCTACATACACTTCACTGGTCATGTGTCTGATGATGGTGACAGTGTACACACGCTTCACTGGTCATTTGTCTGATGATAGTGACAGTGTACATACACTTCACTGGTCATTTGTCTGATGAAGGTGACACTCTACATACACTTCACTGGTCATTTGTCTGATGAAGGTGACAGTCTACATACACTTCACTGGTCATTTGTCTGATGAAGTTGACAGTGTACATACACTTCACTGGGCATTTGTCTGATGAAGGTGACAGTCTACATGCACTTCACTGGTCATTTGTCTGATGATGGCGACAGTGTACATACGCTTCACTGGTTATTTGTCTGATGAAGGTGACAGTCTACATACCCTTCACTGGTCATTTGTCTGATGGAGGGGACAGTCTACATACACTTCACTGGTTATTTGTCTGATGATGGTGACAGTGTGCATACGCTTCACTGGTCATTTGTCTGATGAAGGTGACAGTGTACACACCATTCTACTCATCAAAACATCACATAGTAACACTAATTGGTTGTTCAACATGAATCTTTT